TGAGCTTAAATGGATTCCAGAAGATGGTAGAGGACAGGAAGGCCTGGAGGAATGTTGTCCATGGGGTCACGATGGGTCAGACACAACTTTGCAACTAACAACAACAACAACAAACTATTATTCTTGTCACTAGACAAGGAATGGCAGCAGACTGAGCAAAGTGCATTCAGAGCCACCAGGTATAATCCAACCAAAATTGATTTTTTCTTTCTTTCTGTAAATCCTTTGGTTTTAACTGCAGAGGATTAAATGCATCCATAATTTTTCCTTTAAATGGGAAAATATCATGTGTATGTGTGTGTGTGTGTATATGTGCACACATATATGCACAACTTTGGTTAGATTGTGCCCAGCTACTTTTATTTTTTTCCAAATTCAAATTTAAATAAATTCAAACAATATAATATGCACTTGTTTTCATATAATAATGTTTACATAGCGATTAGTCTTAAGTACTACAATAATTGGCACAGGGCTTACCGCATTGTCACACCTGATTAAACAAGGGAACACTGCTGACACACCTTATGTAGACTAAAGCAACGTGCATTAGGATTGTACAAAACATTTGAAAGGACTCTCTGCAAAATATGTAGGAATGAACAAAGACCCCTCCTCCTCAAAGCAGGGGGCACATGCTGTCCAGAAGACTCAATGCAGCTGCTGCGAACATTTGCCCAGGTGCCAACCCAGGTGCGTGGTTCCACAGGTGTTTCCCTTTATCAGCTGTCCTAGTGGAAGTATTGTTCATGCATGTACATGCAGAGGCAACATAACAGAAAAAGAAAGACAGACAGAGAGAAACTTGGTCTCTAAGATTTTCTAGTGATCTCCTAAACTGGTATTAACTAGGCCCAACCTTGCTGGGGAGTTTTTCTGAAATCAACATAGGCAGCCTAAGTGCCTTAGTATAGGAATATGCTGCATTTTACGGTCCACTTTTTATTGATTATGAAAACTTTAATTAAGATACTAAAACTAATGCACTGTATTACAGCAAGAATGTAAATAATTTGATCCATGAATCATACATATACCATGTTTCCTGGAAGAATGCCACCATCTTTCCCATGGAAATACTCTCATTAAATTGGGTTAACAATATTCTTACCTTGTTTTCATTTCTGCTATCATTATAAGGTGTTAATTTCTATGGTTTTATTCTCATACTGCATTCATTACAATAAAGAAAAAAAACTAAATTAAAGGATAAAGAGACCTTAACATTACAATAGCAAATATTAACAAACAGGCACTAGGGGGCTCTCTTGCATTGTGAAAATAACATTTTGTGCCAAAGTCCAAGGAGCAAGATTTTTGTTATTGTCTGTCTGCCTGTATTTGGGTTTATGCTTTGAGGAAGAATGGCCAGATTTTTGCCTTGAACTTGTCCCTCCAGAAGCCCACCAACAATGTCAAAAAAAAAAATCCATCTGCTGTACCATATAAATAATTTAAACATGGCATTCTAATTATGTCGACACAAAATCCTATATAAACATTGTGTTATATAATGCCCTGTGCAGATTTAAAGCTTGAAATATTTGCTTCTCAAACACCCAGTTTTATGACAGATGAAAATCCACTCAAGGATGTTCTACCATTTCCATGAGTGAGATACCAAATTAGGTGTCCAGTGCCAAACTGATCTTACTTTTTAATTTTTAGTTGCTAAGCTGCAGAAAATTTGTGGAGGTTGACCAGATGGTGAAAAGCCTGGCTGGTTTCAGTACTCTTATTTGCAAATCAAGAAGCAGAAAGCATTTTCTCTTCTCTGAACATGCAGCATTTAGATACACTGATTTTTACACCAATCATTTGGTTTAAATATCTCATGATGAATTAGAGTTTATTTTAACAATGGTTTACTGAAGAAATTGCAATTTACCCTAAACTAAAAGCCACGGGATGCATTTAGAAAACAATTTATTGTTATTATTTGGTTATAAAATACAATCATTTATTTGAAAAGCCAGATCATTGACAATTGTACTTTTTTTTTTTTCATGCACATGGTCAGATAAGCATTGTTTGTCATTTGGTAGCTTACATCTATTGGGTACTTAGCAGTTGATGAAGATTACTTGATCCCTCTTATGTGTATAAGGTGAGTTATGTCTCATGCTGAATTAGGATTTATTTTAACCATGATTTACTGAAGAAATTGCTATTTATCCTAAACTAAAACCCATGATTTACATGCCATAATAATTGCATCGACCCAATAACTTAACCAAAATCAAAAAGGTTGTATTATGGTTAGCATGGGTGCTTGACCCTGTGACTCAGTTCATAAAGTTCATTTTAAAAAAACAATGTTTTGCTGTTTTGAAGGTTAACGTATTCTGTGAATGCAGCCATTTGACTTTTTTAACAATGGTTAATGTTAGGCAATAATTAAGGTAATGGAACTGAGTTTGTGGAGAATGTTGAGTGCAGAGAAAGAACTATTCTTACTTTAATAATACCCCCTTCCAATAATTGAATGGTTTTAGTAAACTCTCAGCATGTTGCAGCTACTCTGTTACAGATCTACTGATTCCTTATATGGAAAGTAAATCATGGGCCAGCTGGAGTCTCTGGAATGTCTCATTGTTCAGTCATGGGATGCATTTGGAGAACAATTTATTGATATAAATAAATGTCCCTTTCAATTCTGTTAATCTGGTTATATTGATACAGGGCCTGCATTAGGAATTGGTTCTGTTGGCATCTATTAAGTAGAGGTCAATTTCCAGAGCCCTTGATCTCATCCAGCAATTTCTGTTGCTGCTGTTCATTTCTTCTGTTCAAGGGAAGAAGCAGTGACCTGAGCAGGACTGGAAATGCAACAGGCCACAGGGAGCCCAATTCTATCCCTTTACACAGGAGCAAATTCTTGAATGCAATTTCCTGGTAGTTTCTCTCAAGTAACTCAAGAAAAAAGGGGGGGGAATGGAAAACACACACTGTCAACTTAGCTGGTCCTTTTCCTAGAAAAGATTAAGAGCAACAGAAGAGAAATAAAAGAATAACTGCATGTATGGAGCAGAAGATGCTGTATTGCTGCCATCTGAACCTGGTATTTTGCAAACCTATCAAATATATTCATAATAGCATATTGCGTGGTGGCCATTTTATTACTTTGGGTATACTGTGGTTTTAATTATTTTTTTATCTGTGGCTTTCTTCCTATTTTTGTTTCATTTACTCTGTTATTTATATGAAAAGTGAACTTTAGGATACTGTTACCTAATTTTAATATGTAATCTGCTTTGTTAATCTGCTTTATTGATCTAATACTTTTATTTTTTAAATATAAAACAACATATGAAATTAAAAGTTGTGCAATATTCTTTCTTTCTCCCTTTACATACAAAAGAGAACTATTAATAGTTAGGACCTGAAACTTGGTAAGAATGTTCATTGCTATGTAGATGACAACAAAATGCTGGGAAACAGAATGCAGTCTAATAGCTGAATAGTTTCCACAATCCCTTTCCCAAGACATGGATAATAATAAAAGTGCTAGACAAAATCCAGCTCTGCCTTCTATGATAGTATCCAAATTCTGGACATAAAATGTTACCAAGCAATTAAGAGCACTTCATTGCTTCATGTTGTCTTGTTTAAGTTCTTGGCTTATCTTGATTTCAGATAATGTTTCTTAAAATTTAACATTTATGTGATTTCAAAATTTGTATGTACACTAGAATATAACTTTCAGTTTTGTAAGAGTATTGGCCACCTATGCAGTGGTTACAATGGTATGGCTTCAAAACACCTTCTTCATCTATGGGCTAAAACATTCTAATTGCTGTCCTAGATATGTTATGTTGGAGGTATATTTATAGAATAGAGGGTACATCTGGGGTAGAATTCAAAAGGATTTACAACAATAGGTTCTTTTTATACTGTTACAAGAGACCAGAGGCTTTCTGCCTTTGAACAATTGTTTGGTTTTCTTCAAAAATGTCATTATTAAATGTGATGCTCAAGGCTTTGGAAATTAAAACTGAAGACAACACTCATACTTTTGCAGTATCAGAGGCAATGTTTGCTACACTAATTTTTTTCTTCCCACTGAGATTCCTTTTCTTTTATGTTATTCTGAATGACACGTTTTGAAATTAATGCCAACAGTCTGGTATTCTTTGATCATTTATCAGAGAAATGATGCCATAAAAATTAGCTCAATATTAGAAGAAAGGAACATCAAAAACTGTTCATAATTTCAGTGAAATACAACAAAAGTGAACAATGTTCAGTGCCAAGGACACCTCTTGGCACAAAAGCATCACAAAATATGCTATCCACAGCAAATCTGTATAACACTGAGATGTAACTGACCAAAATCATATAATATCTTCAGAAGCCATACATGGTTGCTGTTTGGCTGACATTTGCATTTCACACTGCAACCAGACACAATGATTTGGATGCACATAGTCACTTTCCAGCTCATTAGCAGTTAAAATGTTCTTTGCTACACCAAGATAGAAGTCATTTGTATATTGCAGAAAGGGAAAGGCTTGTTTAAGAATCTTGAGGGTTATGGCAGAAGGAACATGATGTTGCTAGATCATATCTGAAGAACTGACCTTTATTTTTGTTATGCATCTTTGGCCGTGACATTTTATTTTCATTGGGAAGAAAAATTTGGCAGCTTTAGAACAGCAGCAAATTCCACCTTGTTAGATAAGTTCCAGGCAATTAATTTATCACACAGTCAATATTATAATTTTAAAATCATTCCTGACCATGAATCATCTCCTTTCATCTTCAAGTTGCTTTTGTATTTGATATTGACATCATAACAAAGTCATTCATGTGATCTGGGGTTTTATGAAGCCACTGCAGCACTTCTACTTTTATCTCCACAAAATCAGGAGAAATTGTTTGATTTAAATTAAAGTTGTGACATTCTGTTTCAGATTGTGTTGTGATGTCATAGCCGCAAAAGTTTCTTGAAGCACTTTGCTGTCTAACCATGGGATGAGAACAGCCACCCAGGATAATGGTTAGATATAGATTTTAGAATATTGTTGGCTTCTAAGTTCATAAGTTTCATGCCCATTGATTCTCAGGGGCTCTTTTTCATCTGCTGTATCAATATCTTTCATCTGTGGATAATAAGCAGAAGATGCTTTGCATTCATAATGTCTGTCAATGGATTTTAAGTGCATCAACATGTGAAGAGCATAAGCTAAAACAAGAAGCAGTATCAGAGACATCACTAGACCCATTAGAATGGCTGGTGGGAAGAGAGAAGCACAATCTTTTGCATAAGCAAACTGTCCATCTTCAATGTTAAATCCTTGAATCTGTGAAGAAAATCAAATAGTCTAAATTAAGACAACCTCCCCTTTCAATCCAAGGGCATGCTATTCTTTGATCACTATTGGTGATCAAAATTATTTTCCCCAGTATCAGTTGCTGAAATAGAAATCAGAGTCTATTTCTGTGGAACTTCTTGTGTGTCATCAAGAAATTTTAAAATAAACTAGGATAAAAATCTGGTATGTAGATATGTGTGTGAGATTGCAGAAGTTAAGCCTTGACCAACTTCCCAAATGAGCTCGGATACAGTACTACTAACTCATCTGAAGAGAATTTGGCTAAATAAGGCTAGTCAAGACACTACCAAAGATTGTAATTTCAGGGTCAAGAAGATAAACCTTATTAAAACAGAGTCAACCATTCTGTGCAATGCATATGAAAACTGTCTGAGCTTCAATCACACTGTCATGGCTACCAAACTGACTCTTTCAATCACCGTCTGCAGACATCCCTGCTGTGGAAACAGTTGCACTTTTTTTCTCCTTGAAAAGCTTGTTTACTCCTTTTTGAAAATTTCAGCAACTTCCTCAAGTGTCACCTTGACACAGATTGAACCATCCCCAAGCTACATAAACCAAATCAATGAGATAAAAGCTTAAACTAGATATCCCGGTAAATGCCTTTTCCACTTTATCTTATCACAACATCTAGTTGGGAAAACAATAAAAAAAACCAGTAATGTTCAGATCATGTAATTCATTAATATAGTCTATCAACTTACTATAATAATAAAAATATAATTTCAACATGGTGAGACCAGAATTTTCAGGAGGAAGCATATTTATAACCTTGTGTACTGTAAGACTAATATGCATTTCTAAGAATACTCAGCCTAGAATAAATAGTTACTTTTAATGAAATGCTTTTATATTATAATTCAAACTTTATTATGTCCTAGATCATCTCATGTTCTTTCTCCCCAATTTACATTTAGGATACAGGCAGCCATTCTTTTGGGAAGTTTATTGATACTTTTATCAATCATCTTGTATATAAAATCTCAAAAGTTCATACATGCAGGTCTTGAAAGAGGACAATAGTTAGGCCCCCAACAGTGTGGCAGCTAATACCTAATGACTGGAGACATTTATTGCACACAGTGAGAGAGAATTCTGAATAATTCTTAGACTTCCATTGCAAGTTTATAAGAACAAGGCAACTGCATTTTTCTTATTCAAAGTTTACTTATTTACCTCTATCTGAAAATCACATAATCTACGTTTAAAGGTTGTTTAAGTTTCCTTACTGGACAGATCTAGCCTTCTAAGTATTTGCTTATAGGCCTTGGTTGGCTTTCCCACACATTACCTGAAAGTCAATAAAAGTAACTTCCCAGTGCTTGGCTGCATCGTTTGGAGAGCTGGGTGTTAATAGTGCATCATATCTCTGCAAGTTGCTGACATGTTCACAGTGATAAGAATAGATTGCTGGTGCATGTATTCGTGTTGCGTTGAATGTTGCTTGTACAGATTGATTGTAAATAAGCTGGATTCTGTGTAAGGTAAACCAATTTTGAATGGAGAGCTTGTAGTAACTGTTTGTCAGAATGAATCTACCAGGGGAAATCAGAAAAATAATTGCAGTGAATCTTGCCACCTTTTATTTATATTTGTAAATAAATCTTATAAAGATATACCAACTTTGTATTATTATGGCATTATAGTTGATCCAAAATTTATGTCTTTCAATTCTTCGTTTTCCCTGTTAAACACTAAAAATACTCTAAACTGCCAGAAAATCAAGATAATGGGGGGAAAAGGAAGGAGTAAGTTGTTGCTGTTTGCAAATGTTCCTTTTAAAACTTATTGTAAATACATTTCTAGATAAATAAACAGCCTTGACATTTTGTGTGTCTGGTACTTTAAAAGCATTGTCTAAATTAAAGACTAGAAAAATAAGATGATAAATCTTACTGGATGTACAAGTAGTGCACTAATTTACATATATTAATATGTAAAATACATATATCACCTTTGTAAGCAAAATTTCCTAGAGCAATTTGGAATTTTGAAAACTCATATGTACATATTTTAAACTGAAAGCCCAGCACAGCATACACAATATTGCAAAATAAGATAACAGAACTATCAAACATCATAAAAATACATTTTCATTAAAACATTAAGACAACAAAAATTAGGTTAAATAAAAGCATAGTGAGGGATAATAAAGTATTTGCTCCTAACAAATGGTCTTTACAATGCATCAAGGTGAGATATGTTAACTATATTTGCAATTATTCTCTTAAATTTTGATAACATCCAACTGTGCCTATGGACATTGTTAAGTCCTGGTAATTTCAACTGAGGAATAGATATTTTTTACTGAAATGAATAGTCTTTAATTCTGACAGATTCTTGCCTCTGTTGCATTGTAAAAGAGTTGCATTGCATTGTAAAAGAGTTTTATTGCAACAGTGGCATGTTCTCACATTTTAACATTATCATAATGGAGATAGGCTAATAGTATGGTTTTAATGTAATAATGCTGAGGAGATTAATATTTGAAAACATACCTGATAACAAATCCTTTCAAATTGTCAATGTCACCAAAATTAAGTGAAAGCCTAGATGGAAAAGGACAATTAAATCAAGAACTATTCAGCATTGAAAGAGAAAGAAGAGAATGTCGTTAAATTTAAATTCATCGAAGATGGTTCCATGCTACCATCACAACATACATAAGGAGCAGAGCTTGGTAATGGCACAATATGCACTCTTGATACATTGCTTGTCCAAATCATAACCTGGTGCAAAAAATGTGGCCCTATAATGTACTAGAGTGGCACTTTGCTTGCGCCGAGCTCTTATATTACAATAAATGTTTGAATAAAAGCCAGCAACTGTGCCCAAAGTTGCTTATTTAGGGATTCACAGGACCTCAGGATAATATTAGTGAGGGTACCTAGTAATAGCTATATTCCATTCATAATAAAATTGAATTACAGCTACATTTCATGGTTACAGTTCATGAACAGACAACAATTAGACTTAAAATGAACTGCATTTGCCACAGACATGGGATATTATGATACCTTGAAGATTATCAAATTAATTTTAGCATAGGCTTCTATAAATATATCTAACTACATGGGTCTAGTCCTTAGCTTCTACATGTCACAAAAGCTATTCTTTTCAATCTCACAATCTCTTTCTTTCTTTCTTTCTTGGGTTATATGAAAGTTACAACACAGACAACCTGGCATATTTACCTCTCTGACAAGCATAGGATGGCAAGCATTCATCAATTTTATTGCTCCAGCAAGTAGAATATTTGAGAACATTCAAAGCCATTAAATTAGTTCAGTGCTCGACATTTCACTGCCACAAGGACACTGCATTGTTGATTTTTTTTAAAAAAAATCTAATTTTATTTCAGCCCTAGGAAATCTCCACAGTGGGTACAATTTTACATTGTCCCAAAGGTTTTTGTTTTTTTTCAAAAAAAAGCAACTGGACTTTCTTGGTTTTTTTGTTTGAAAACATTTCGCTTCTCATCCATGAAGATTCTTGGACGTGAAGTGAGACATTTTCAAAGAAAAAAAATCAAGGAAGTCCCATTGCCTTTTGGAAAAAAACACCTTTGGGACAAGCACAACCTGGATGATTGATAATCTCCATAAATCTTACATTGCATTTTCTTCACTGCAATTTGAATCAGCAACATCCACCGATGCATGAACACCGAATGTTTTGTCTGTTAGATCCAACTGAGTATGGTTCTGAAACTTAATCATGATCCTTCTGGCCCAGAATAGAATACAGGGGCTTCCATTAAAGGTGACATTCACTGGACTGTAGTGGCTGTGAATCATAGATTCTTTCTCCAAATTTTCTTTAGTGCTTACATTGTAATTGCCAATCTGCATGCAACCAAGTAAGAAATAACAATTAGTGTTTTCCCTTTAACATACTACTAATGCTTAATTTTGAATTACTAGACACAAGAGCAACATAAAGTCAACTCCATTAATGACTTGCTGTCAAGGCTAGTCCAAAATGCTTTGCTTTGAGATGGAGCCCATCCAAAATCAGAACTAGGACATTGCAAAAAATCTAAATTCTGACTATAATAATAAGAAAGTAAACAATTAGCAATATCCTGCTTCAGGGTGGGTATCAACATTCTGTCTAACAGGAAGACAAGCCCTCCTTATAAAGCATAAGAAATTATAATTTCTGTTCATCCCCAATACATAAGTTAAAAAGCAGATTTTTTAAAAATATGAATTGCCTTTGTAATAAGTGTCTAATCATTAGTGGAGACAAAGCTTTTTGAACAGTTTTTTTAAAAATATATGATTTAAATTACTATTGCTAGTGTGAAATGGCATAAGTGCTATTAGTGAAATATTGCATTAGTGAAACACTGTATAATTAATGTGGTAAAATATAAATATCTCCATATGAACTGCTTGAGATATGAACCCTTATTTTTATCCATCTAGACACAAGAAGACATTGATTTATGTTAATAATAGTGGAAAGATTTATTCAGCTGCTTATGAGCAGGAAATTTATTACATGTCAGCTAATTCAGACATTGAATTTGTGGGTATTTTTCTTCAAAATCTAAACAAAATTACATCTTTTAACATTATGAAGGGTACCAATTTTAAAAATGAGATTCTGGAAATTTTAGGAGATAGCACAAATGTACAAGAGAAATCCCATCTCAAGAGGCTCAGACACAAAAAAGATGAAGGAAAACACAAATGTGTTATGTCAATGAAACCTACATTCTGTAAATATAGAAAACTGGCAGAGAACATCGAAGTCCTGTAAAATAAAATCTGAAGTACCAATCAGGAGCCAAGAAATTCAACTCTTTCAAGTTGGCTTTAAAAAGAGAGTAGAAAGACTGTTTTTTGTTACACCTTTCTCTCTCATAGGAAGAGCAGAAGAAATTATCTGAGTTGTTAGAAATTCATTTGTTTTTGTTATTTTGTTATACTATGTTCTATTTCTATCTGCTTTTGTTCTGTGTATATTTTCCTAAGTGGAAGAACTGAAGGAATTAGTTAATTAACTGTTCAATTCTCCTTTCTCGCTTTGTCTTTCACTCCCAATAATTCCATAATTTTGATATAGGTATTAAAAAGTTTGAATTTCTTTCTGAGTCAGTCCGTTCATTCTAAATTTTATCCCAGCATATTTGGCTAAGCTACTGAGAAAAGTCACAGATTATGCCACATTATTGTTGTTGAATTCAGGCAATTTTGTTCTGTACAGATTAAACCAGTGCAGAAGAGAATTTCTCTTGAATAAATTGGATTGTGGTAGCACACTGAGCAGGAATGTGGGAGGGTTTAGAACAGGGGTGTCCAACCTTGGCAATTTTAAGACTTGTGGACTTCAACTCCCAGAGCTCCTCAGCCAGCAAAGCTGGCTGAGGAGCTCTGGGAGTTGAAGTCCACAAGTCTTAAAATTGCCAAGGTTGGACACCCCTGGTTTAGAAGGAGAGTTGGTACATGGATGATTTATTTATTTTTATTTATTTATTTGATTTGCCAATTGTTTACAAGATAATATGTATAAGCGTATACATAGTTGTGAATACATGAAATGGGTACATATAAGAAAAATAAAAGAATAAGAGAAACAATAGGACAGGGATGGTAGGCACGTTGGTGCGCTTATGCACGCCCCCTACAGACCTCTTAGGAAGGGGGTGAGGTCAATAGTAGACAGTCTAAGGTTAAAGTTTTTGGGGTTTGGGGAAGAGACTACAGAGTCGGGTAGAGTATTCCAGACGTTGACCACTCTATTGCTGAAGTCATATTTCCTGCAATCAAGTTTGGTGCGGTTTACTTTGAGTTTGTATCTATTGTGTGCTCTTGTGTTGTTATGGTTGAAGCTGAAGTATTCATTGACAGGTAGGACATTGCAATGTATGATTTTATATACCATGCTTAAGTCAGACCGAAGACGGCATAATTCAAGGTTTTCTAGTTCTAGAATTTCAAGTCTGGTGGCATAAGGTATTCTACAACGAGTAGAAGAGTGGAGAACTCTCCTTGTGAAATATTTCTGGACTTTCTCAATTGTGCTAATATCAGATACGTAATGAGGGTTCCAGACTGATGAACTGTATTCGAGTATTGGTCTAGCAAATGTTTTGTATGCTCTGGTTAGTAGTGTGATATTACCAGAGAAAAAGCTACGTAGAATTAGGTTAACAATTCTTAATGCCTTTTTGGCTATGTAGTTGCAGTGGGCTCTAGCACTTAGATCATTAGAGATGAGTATTCCAAGGTCCTTTACAGAGCTTGGGTCATCAACAAGTTCTTGACTATTCAGCTTGTATTTTATTTTCTGATTTTTTTTGCCAATATGTAAGACAGAGCATTTATTTGTTGAGATTTGAAGTTGCCATTTGTTTGACCATTCAGATACATAGTCGAGATCTTTTTGAAGGGTAGCAGTATTGTCTGTGGTATTGAACAGCTTTACATCATCAGCGAAAAGAATGCAATTGCTCTTAATATGATCGCAGAGGTCATTTATGTAGAGTATGAAGAGAGTTGGTCCTAGAACACTGCCCTGGGGGACACCACTATTGACAGGTACTGGATTTGATAGGACGCTCCCGATTTTGACCATTTGTTGTCTGTTTGACAGGAATGCTTCTATCCAGTTATTCAGTTGTCCAGAGATACCATAGGATTTTATTTTTAGGAGTAGTTTGTCGTGTACCACTGAATCAAAGGCTTTACAGAAGTCTATGTAGATTGCGTCTATTGCTTTGCCCTGGTCGAGTTGTGTCGTCCATATGTTTTTGCAGTGTAAGAGTTGCAGATTACAGGATAGTTTTTTTCTGAAACCAAATTGTTTATTGGAGAGTAGGTTGTTTGTCTCTAAGTGGAGGATAATGGATTGGTTAATAATTGATTCCATGACTTTACAGGTGACGCAGCATAAGGAGATTGGCCTGTAATTTTCAACTAGGCTTGGGTCTCCCTTTTTGAAGATGGGGATGACTGTGGCTTGTGACCATAGGTTAGGCAAGGAGCTGGTTCTGAAAGATTTTTCAAAGATTATGCTTAGAGGTTTGGCTATGGCAGTGGATAGCTTTCTTAAGAAGTAGGCACATATTCCATCCGGTCCAATAGATAGAGATGGTTTTAGATTGCGTAGTGATTTTTCAACATTGTCTTCTGTGAAATCGATATGTATTAGATCATTGTTGTTATCTGTGGTACGGCTAGGAAATACTGGGCATGATCCATTGCTGTTTACAAATACTGAGCCGAAGAATGTGTTAATCTAGAACACCCTGATCTAGAATGTGTTAATCTAGAACACCATGATCTAGAACACCGTGCCACCACAATTGTATCAGAGAGTCTTGTACATACTTGTGCCAGCAGACAACACATGCCATTACAACATAGCAGAAAATAACACAGAGGCATGGGGGGGTCAATTATTTGATAAGTACAGGCATTTCTCAATTTACAACTGTTCGTTTAGTGATCATTTGAAGTTACAACAGCACTGGGAAAAAAATCACTTATGACCATTATAACTGTTGCAGGATCCCCATAGTCATGTGATCAAAATTAAGACATTTGGCAACTGACTCATATTTATGATGGTTGCAGTGTCCTACGGTTATGTGATCCTCTTTTACGACCTTATGACAAGCATAGTTGGTGGGGAAGCCAGATTCATTTAACAACAGTGTTACTAACTTAACTTAACAACTTCAGTGATTCACTTAACAACTGTAGCAAGAAAGATCATAAAACGGAGCAAAATCCACTTAATAAATGTTTCACTTAGCAACAGAAATTTTGGGCTCTAGTTGTGGCCCTAAGTCAAAGACAACCTGTAACTACTAAGAGAAACAAAAAATAAATAAATGTAATAGAATTCTAGAATACTTTCTGTGAAAAATTGGAAACTACTGATATTCAGAATAGAACAACATTTACAAATATGCAAAATATATACCAGATATTCCTAAGTACCAATAAATGTGTTATCCAGAGTTTCTTGCAGAAAACCTTCAATTGAGTCTCTTTTTCTTTTCTTTTTCTTTTTTCTTTTCCTTTCTTTTTTATTTTAATCTTTGATATGTGCCATTACTTCTGCAATCAGTGGAGTTCGTACTAGAGTAAAAATTGTCCTGCACAGACAAATCTTGCAAGACCAACTCATACAATGAATGTATCTGGTATCATCAATATATATATAAAAGATATATGTATAAATCATACAGATTTACAACCCAGATGCAATATACTGTATAACACTGAAAATAATTTGGTCAAGGAACATAAATATGCTACATGACTTGGAAAGAAAATATTGTCGTGTAAGAACTTACTATCCAGTTTTCTGGTGTCTCCATACCTGTGTTATTGCTACTTGTTGTAAATTAATTTTGGGCTTCACACTGCCATCATACCGTCGACCTACAAAAGAAACAACATGCAATACATTCCAATTAAAACTAATTCTAGCAATAAACAATTTTAATAACTTTTTTTAAGTTTGGGGGGCGGTTTACCAAAGAGAAGACTGATATAAAAATATTTTTAAAAAGAAAGTTTGTGTGTATGTGTGTGTGTTTTGTGTGTGTGTGTGTGTGTGTGTGTGTGTATTGGGGCAAACAACTTATCAGTCAGATGTAGTTTAACCCAGCATCCTCAGCCAACATGGTGTATAATTTGAGCCAATCTTTTAAAAAAGATTATACATTTAAAAGTTCATCTGTATGTCATTGATACTGTAGACCTGTAGAACACAGAGAGGTATAGTCTTTGACTGTCTTTCATTAGTCAGAACAATTCTTAATATTCAGGGATCTTCTTTAGGAACCTGTTGAACCAACTGTATTATGGACTGTTATAAAGACAACTATCTTCTCTCCTCATCTATTTGGTACTCCTCAACTTACAACCACAATTGGTACCAGAATTTCCATTACTACTGAAGTGGTTGTTAAATAAGTCATGCTCAAGTTTATGACCTTTTTTGCCACAATTGTTAAGCAAATCACTGTAATTGGTAAACAAATTATACTGTCATTAAGCAAATCTAGCTTCCCCTAATGACTTTGATGTCAGATGCCCACAAAAAAGATGATGAAATGGTGATCACATGACCCCAGGATGTTGTACCCATCATAAATACATACCAGTTACCAAGTGCTTGAATTTTGATCACATGACCATGGGGCTGCTTCGGTGGTCATCAATACGAGGACCCGTTGTTACTTTTTAAAGTGCTGTTGTAATTTCAAATGGTGGTAAATGAATGGTTGCAAGTTAAAGACTATGTCAGCCATGGAAGCCGAATTTGTATTAGCCATATATTTTCTTAGAAGCTTCGAGGCTGCTATAGTTAGTGCCTGGGAATTTGGGAGGGGGGAATTCTTAGTGATAGTAGATTAGACTCAACAACATTCTTCTCAAAAGTCAAGGACATGCCATCTTACACCTGGATGGGAGCAGGAAAAGGTTTGGCTTCAGCTAGAATGATGTTTGATTGGGCCATGTGATGGACTGATGGGTGCAGGGATGGATCTTTGATTTTCACTCTGAAACCCAGAAGTTTCAGATTCGGGTTTCCCCAGATGTGCCAACACAACTTCTTTAATAAATTCTTACTTGGATGGACTTTGACTGTTGAATGGAATTGGGGAGTTTCTTTGGAATGCTGACCTGTATGTCAAGGAAGTAGCATTTCATGCTCTTTAATAATATACCTTCCATTTCAGCATCCCAGCCAAGGAAAAGAGAAAAGAAATAAGTATCCTGAAGTCAACTATAGGAGATCAGGAGTAAAGTTCTCCAATGTCACAGTGTCTACACCTCTATTGTTCATTCATAACTGCCTTACATTATATGCAACCACTGTAGCGGAAGAAAAGTAAAAAGGAGACTCATTCCATTAAATCTACTGCAATATAAGATCTAATGGGATCTTTGAACGGTTTTCAGATGATGACACCAAGACTGGGTTCTTGGTGGGTTTAACCGCTCTTTGAACGGTTTTCAGATGATGACACCAAGACTGGGTTGTCAAACTCATGTCATCATGGTGGCATCACATGATGTTTCATGATTTTTTCCCTTCGCTAAACCAGGCATGGGCGTGGCCAGTGTATGACGCGGGCCACAGGCCACAAGTTTGGCAGCCCTGCTCTAAGAACTATTGCTTCCCTGCTCATCCATTTTTCCTTTGGTGTTGTACTTAACTTGTATCCCTGAACACAGACATCTTTGCTATTAATCACTCCTAAGTTACTGTAAAAATATTTCTGGCAGAACAGAAAGGTTTAAAAAGTTTGAATTAATTAAACTATCTGTTGGTGACCTATAGTCACTTGAAACTCCTTTGTAAATTTTTTGGATTTGTATTTTTCCAGGAAACAACAGTTTGCAGGACACAATTAAAGCCTTACCATTTCTCTGGAGTAGATCTGGATCAGAGAATACGAACAAACTGCAAAAAAGCAGACACAAAAGTAGTATATGAGCAATATTTTTTTTAATTATGCAGGAAAGCAGCATAGATAGTCCTTGACTTACAACCACTATTGAGCCCAAAAATTATGTTATTAAGTGAGAATTTGTTAAGTGAGTTTTCCCCATTTTACAACCTTTCTTGCCACAGTTGTTAAGTGAATTATTGCAGTTGATAAGTTAGTAATCTGACTGTTAAGTGAATCTGGCTTCCCCGTTGACTTTGCTTGTGAAAAGGTTGCAAAAAGTGATCACATGATCCTGAGGTGCTGGAAAGGTCATAAGTATGAATCAGTTGCCAAACATCTGAATTTTAATCACATGATCATAGAGATGTTGCAGTTTGTAATTATGAAAAACGGTCATAAGTCACTTTTTTCAGTGCTGTTGAAACTTTGAACAGTCATTAAATGAACTGTTGTAAGTCGAGGGCTACCTGTATTTATCACTTTTAATTTGCAATATAACCCGGGAAATAATGTATCTATTTAAAAGTCTAAACATTTTTTTAGGAAAAACATTTCCCATACTCAATTTAGAATTGAGGCTTCCTGTGATACAACTATTGGTAAATCAACAGGTTTGTTAAATATCTATGGAGATTCTCAGTTATTGAGATGATAGTTGTCCCAAAGGTGCTTTTTCAAGAGGCAACTGGTCTTTCTTGCTTTTCTTTTCTTTTCTTTTTTTGTTTTCTTTGAAGAAAGACTTTTGCTTCTCATCCAAGAAGCTTCTTCAGCTCTGACTGGATGGTGAAGAATGGAAGAATTTATATTCCTTGCAGACAGCTGGACTTTTAGAGAGTCATTGAGGCCACTTCTAAGGCAGAAGCTTGTTTACCCCAATGATAAACTACCCAGATATAAACTGAGCAACATGGTGTACTCAGCATAATGCAGTGAGACATGTGCAGACCTGTACATTGGGGAAACAAAACAACCACTTCATAAATGCATGGCACGACATAGGACAACAGACTCATCAGGACAAATTCAGCAGCCCATCTGCATTTAAAACACAAAGGCCACTCTTTTGAAGACAGCAAAGTCCACATTTTGGATAGAGAGGACCCAAGCTGAAAGAGGCCATCTATGTCAAAACAGAACAGCCTCTCTCAACAGAGGGATGTGAAACAACATCATCTATCTCCAGTCCTTTCAGCAGTTCCAAGAAGGCTCCACATCCATTTGTACTACTCAGGTGACCCTGAGGACACAGATAAATCTCCAAATGGCATTGAGGCTCTCTAAAAAAATCAGGGATGGGATTCAAAAATCCCAGCAACTGGTCTCCTGCCTAGTTGCTGGGTGGGCATGGCCATGGTGGGCATGGACAACCAGAACTTCTGGTAGGACCATTTTTCACCCTCCCAAGGGTCCAGAGGCTTCCCTCTGGCCTCTGGGAGGATGAAAAAGGCCTCCTCCAGGCTCTGGAGGCCTCCGGAAGCCAGAAACAAGCCCATTTCACAACTTCCGGTACTTCTGGGAGGGCCATTTTTTGTCTTCTCAAGGGTCCAGATGCTTCCCTTGGGCCTCTGGGAGGGTGAAAACGGCCTCTCCTGGACTCTGGAGGCCCTCCAGAAGCTGGAAACAGGCCCATTTCATGACTTCTGGTACTTCTGGGAGGGCTGTTTTCCCCCTCCGTGTGGACTCTGCACTTACCTGCATCAAAAATGGGCCACATGGAGACTCCTGGGAGGGAGGGGAGGGGTGAGTGAGGCCAGCTGGTAGGTTCAAATACCGGTTCAGGAAACCAGATGCAAATTTAACATCCAGTTCACCCAAACCAGTCCAAACCGGTAGAATCCCACCCCCTGAAAAGAATGCAAATGCTGTCTACAAGGAATATAAAGCCTTCCATTCCCCAACCTTCAGTCAGAGCTGAAGAAGGTTCTTGGATGAGAAGTGAAACATCTTCAAAGAAAAACAAGAAAGTTTGGTTGCCTCTTGAAAAAGCACTTTTGGGACAACAGGTTTGTTAAAGGTTTGTTAAAGTAGGTTCATTTTATTTATTTGATATTTACCCAATCTGGTAAGCATTCAGGTAAGTATGGATAAAATTTAAAAAAAAAACAGGAAACAAAACATTAAATCCATAAATAAAAATCAAGATTCAAATACTCATTTAAGAGATGCTTCTGAAAATTTTCTAAACACCAAGTAAGTGGAGGGCAAATGCAACTCATGAACAAATGCATTTCATCATCTCATGCTAAAACAATGGGACTCTGAGAAACATACAAGTCACTGGCAGTAGATTAAAATAGACTTTTGCTAGGGACGAGTCTGATAGATACCCCAGAGACTAGTTATTGCATTTAAATAAACTGTTGCAAAACTCTTCTCTGTTCAGTACACTTGGGGACAAGGGAAGTCAAATGAAAAGAGAAAATGTCACTATATTTCATGTTTCCAGACCAGGGAGTAAAAATATATGCAATGTGTTGGGAACAGCTCAGCCTGCTGCAGCACAAATAAGTACTGTAACCCGGTTGGATGGAACAAACTATGTTTCCTGGTCTATGAAGTGCAGTCTACTTCTGCGTAGGGTTATGGGCTGCAGTTCAGAATCCACTGGATGTGAATGCTTGGGATCCAAATAATGAGGACGATGCCAAAAAGTTAGCTGACTTTAAACGGAACAATGAACGAGCTCTTTGTATAATTGGACTAATACTGAGTGACCAGCAGCTAGTCCATATTCAGTAAAATTAAAACCCTGTAGCAAGTACTTAAACTGTAATGCCTGTAGTCAGGAGAAAAGTAAGGTTACTCCTGCAAATAGACTTAATGGGTTTAAGACCAAAGAACCTTTAGAGGTTATTTTTGCTGACATAATTGGTCCTAAGAAACCTAGTTTGGGAGGTGCGTGCTATATTTTGAGTATAATGGACTATTACTCACGGTACGGTTTCTGCTATCTCATGAAAAACAAAACAGAAACATTCCAACACTTCTTTAATTGGCTAAGGTTTGCAGAGAGAAAAATGAGAAGTAAAGTAATTATTTTAGTTACTGATAATGGGACTGAGTTTATTAACAAGAGATTCCAAACTATGTTGAAATTGGCTGGTGTCGTGCATTAACGTTCTTCACCTTACAGACCACAACGTAACTCATTTGTAGAACGAAGAGGGAAAATGTTACAAGCCATGGCTCACACTATGTTATCAGATTCAGGTTGCCTGAAACACTGTGGGGTGAGGCCATAATGTGTAGCAACCATGTGTTAAACAATGTGGTTAACACAACTGGTGAATTGCCATTCACTAGTTGGCATGGCAGAAAACCAAATTTAAGTTATTTACACACATTTGGAGTTCCAGCATGGGTGCATATTCCCTCACAAGTAAGACTGAAAGGGCAACATAGAGCTAAGAAAAAAAAATTTGTAGGTTATGAGGCCAACCATAGATCATTTAGATTCTGGGATCCAGGCACAGCTCATATTTATTGAAACGCTAGTACAAAATTTCTTGAGCATGTTGGGTGGGATAAACTGGAACAGGAATCCAGCAATGATGTTATTATTGACACCAAAGAAATCCCTAAAGATGAATTAAATAAACTACGAATAGCCATTAAAGAGGAAGAACAGGCACAGGAGGAAGTAGGAGAACAGGCACAGGAGGAGGTAGAAGAACAGGAGCAGGTGGAACAGGTGAGTCCACCAGTAAGCCCTGTATTACCAAGATGTTCAACCCGTGTAACACGACCACCTAATAAATATCAGGCTAGTGTTGTATACCAAGTGAATACAGTTCCAAATAACTATAATGAACTAAAACTGTATCCTGCTAAGGATCTGGCTGCTTGGCAGGAAGCAATGGATAAGGAACTGGAATCATTAAAAAAGTTGGAGGTATACAAAAATGTTAAGTTACCATCTGGTAAACATGCCATAGGATGTAAATGGATATATAAGCTAAAGACAGGTATAGATGGGACTGTTACCCATAAAGCCAGGTTAGTAGCACAAGGGTTCAATCAGACAGCAAACGACTATGATTAGGTGTTTGCACCTAGTCTGAAGGCTACTACATTAAGGGTAGCATTAGTGTGGGCAGCTAAGGAGAAATACATTATAAATCATTTGGATGTAGAGACAGCATATCTGCATGCACCGTTACAACACACTACATATATAAAGAAACCTTTAGGTATCAAAACTGATACTACAACTGATTGTTGGAGATTGAAAAAGAGTCTTTATGGCTTGAAGCAATCAGGATATGAATGGAACCAGTGTATAGTTAAGGAATTAACTAAAATAGGTTTTGTAGCTGGCATGGCTGATCCATGTTTGTTCAAAAGAGAAAGTAATGGTGTAATTTCATTGTTGCTATTATTTACTGATGACATAGCATTAATCACTAAAACTGAACAAAAAGCTACTGAGATAATCTCACTATTGGAAAAGAAATTTAAGATAAAACAGTTAGGAGAAATTGAACAATATCTTGGATTAAAGATTGATAGAACTAGGGGAGGATACAAAATCTCACAGGCAGATAAAATTAACCAATTATTAAAAAGTTTTAAAATGGAACTTTGTAAACTGGCTAAAACACCGATGAGCCAGGAGTTTAGCCATAGCGATGTTCAAAGTCCTGTTTTTGATAAGAACATTTATCAGTCCTTGATTGGTGGTTTATCTTATCTCAGTAATTGGTCAAGGCCAGATATAGCATACAGTGTTAACCAATTAGCGAGGTTTAATACTGAGCCAACTAAAAGGCACTGGCAAGCTGCTAAACATGCCTTAAGATATCTGAAACAAACAATGCATTATGCATTGTATTTGGAGCCTAAAAATGAACTAAGTCTAAACTTGCCAATGCAAGTTTTGCTACAGACATAAATACACATAAATCTACATCGGGTACAGTAGTATTATTGGGAAAGGTGTTGATTGGATGGAGGTCTATTTGACAGAAACATATAAGTTTGTCAACAATGGAGGCTGAATTCTCATGTTTATCTTTATTATGTACAGATTTAGTTTATTATAAGCAACTATTAATTGATATGGGAATTGATGTAACAGATTCTATTGTTGTTTATGACGACAACCAATCAGCAATACAGATGGCTTCAAATATTGCTGTTAATACAAGATCAAAACACACAGATTTAAGATATTTAAATGTGAGACAATGTGTGCAAAGTAAGATGATTAAGCTGGAATACTGTATGTCAGAAAATAACATCGCAGATCATTTTACAAAAGCCCAAGGCTTTGTAAAGCATAAGGCTTGCTGTGAGGATTATGGACTTAGAATGTAAGGTTGTATATACTGTCCTACCCAAAGGGGAGAATGTTAAGAATGTAAGTCACCCAACATTTGGGTTGTAAAATATATAAACCAGGATAGACATTTTAATACTGTCTCTTTAAGGAAATGCTAAAATTGTAATTGGGTGTGGTTCCTCAAATGGCCATAAGATGGAGCCAGAAACCTGGGCTGTTTAGTCCTGTTCTGTTCTTTTTCTGGAGAGTGTTGCCGTTCCTCCTATTGACTGTTGCTGATCCTTGATGTAAGTCTGTTACTGAACTGTTTTTGATACGGGACTTTGTTATTTGGATTGTCCCTGGACTGAAAACTGACTGCTTTAACCGTGAATGACTTGGACTGTGTTTGGACTTTGCTTAACCATTTACTGGAAGTAAAACCTACATTTTACTATACAGTGTAGCTGTATGCTGTTTGTGTGTTATTCTGTTTGTATGCTGTTTGTGTGTTATTCTCCACACTCTCACTACATCTCCCTGTGTGCGCTCATTCTCCTAATGGGGAATTACCTCAACACTGTTCAAATCTTGGAGTTCTGCCAACTAGGAAGCTGAGTGATGCAGTGTGTAGCTCCCTGTTCCCTAC